ATGTATCCATTTTGAACTTATCTTAGTAAACTGTGTACTATATTGGTCTACCTGGTTTCTGCCATATTGCCTTCTAGTTTTCCCAGCAATGGCTCGTAGTTTTATAAGTCTGAATCATTTCTTTAAATATCTAGAATATGATACCTTTATCAGAGAAACTTGATGTGAATATTTTAGATACCTTGAGGACTATGGTTTGCTTTAAAATTTATCATTTATCAATTTATTAACAAGCAGTGTTCTTTTTAAAATTTATTAATTTATTTTGATTTATCAACAATCACTTCTATAATCTTTTGAATTTAAAAATTTTTACCCCCTCTCTCCACACCCCTGTCCCCGAGATGACATGCTGTCTGATAAAGGCTTTACATATATATATTCCTATTAAACATGTTTTCACTTTAGTCATGTTGTAAGGAAGAATTAGAAGCAATAGGAAGAATTACCAGAAAGAGGAAACAAAACAAAACCGAAGGAAAAAAGTAACAAATAATATCCTTCAATCTGCATTCAAATTCCATAGTTCTTTCTTTGAATATGGATAGAATTTTCTATCATGAGACTTTTGGAGATGTCTCCGATCCTTGAATGTGTCTGTTCCTGTTTACAGTGTTCTCCAGATTCTGCTCACTTCACTCAGCATCAGTCCATACAAGTCTTTTAGGTTCATCATTTCTTATAGCACAGTAGTATTTCATTACATTCATATACCACAACTTGTTCAGCCATTCCCCAGTTGATGGGCATCCTCTCAACTTCCAATTCTTTGCCACCACAAAAAGAGCTGCTATAAATATTTTTGTACATGTGGGTCCTTTTCCCACTTTTGTGATGTATTTGTGCTATTGCTGGCTCAAAGGATATGCACATTTTTATAGCCCTTTGGGCATAGTTCCAAATTGTTCTCCAAAGTGATTGGATCATTTCACAACTCCACCAACAACGCATTAGTGTTCCAATTTTCCCACATCTTCTCCAGCATTTATCATTTACCTGTTTTGTCATGTTGACCAATCTGATAGGTGCGATGTGATATCTCAGAGTTGTTTTGATTTGTATTTCTCTAACAAATGGTGATTTAGAGCATTTTTTCATATGACTATAGATGGCTTTAATTTCTTCATCTGAGAACTGCCTGTTCATGTCCTTTGACCATTTATCCATTGGAGAATGACTTGTATTCTTATAAATTTGACTTATCTCTCTATCTGTTTTAGAAATGAGACCCTTATCAGAGACACTGGTTGTAAAAATTCTTTCCCAGTTTTCTGCTTCCCTCCTAATCTTTGTTGCATTGGCTTTGTTTGTGCAATTTAATGTAATTAAAATTATCCATTTTACATTTTGTAATGTTCTCTATCTCCTGTTTGGTCATAAATTCTTCTGTTCTCCATAAATCTGACAGGCAATTTTCAAGTACCTGCTATATGCCAATCAATATGCTATGCACTGGGGCTATAAAGACAAAAAAATCTAAAATTAAAATTAAATTCCTAAAATCTTATTTTGAAAGTGTTTTTTTTCTCTTTTGAAACATTTTGAAGTTTCTTGCTCTTGTTTCTTGGCTCTTGAATCATCCTCAGAATGTTTAGTTTTACCAAAGATTTTTAGTTCATTTCCCTTCATACTATGATTTTTTAAAAATTGTTTTCCGACCTCCCTTCAAAGTATACTCATTTTTCCTTCAGTCTGCAAGTTCTCTGTTCATTATCTGTTTAGGAGCTAGATTTGTATTTAGGTCTTATCCATCGTACTTTTGGTCTTTCTGCACTTTCCTAGTGTTCCGTATAGTGTCTCACTTTTTGCACATTCCTCATTCCTCTACTATATAGTGGCTTTTCCCCAGTGCCTAGTAGGTTGAATGTCTGCAGCCTTCAGGTTGCAGAGGTGACAAGGGCGCAGTGTCAGTTCTGTGTCCAGAATAAATTTTAGGGTGAGAGCATGACCCTCACTACATTTCTCTTCCTGTTTCACTTGTGTATTGAAGCTCTTTTTCTTCTAGACACCTCTGTGCTGCCTGCTTCTTCTACTTCTTCCCCCATCCAATTGCTCCCTCCCCCTTGCTTTCACATGGCTAGATAATATCAGTGTCTGCAACCTCTTGTGGAGTATGTTTGTGGAAAGGTTTGAGTCTGTGTCACTCTTGTGGGGGAATTGGACAAGGCTACTACTTCAAAATAGGTTGAACTAGCTGTGCTTGCTATGGGTTGTGGGGTGGGCATGCTGAGTGCAAATTATTGCTTTATGTTATTTAATGATTTTTTTTTAAGCTTTATGGGTTTCTTGTCTTATGGTTGGGGCTTTAGTTACTCTATTTCTGGTGTATATATATATATATTTGTGGTTTTTGGTTTAGAGAAATATTTGGAGAACAATTACTCTGCCATCTTGGCAACCATATGATAACAGATAATTCACTGTCAACATTTGGAAATAGGTGGAGGAGTCCATGGTAGCTAGGTGACTCAGTTGACAGAGCACCAGACTTTGAGTCAGGAAGACCTGAATTCAGTTCGACCTCAGACACTTACTATTTGTGTGACCCTGGGCAATTCACTTAATATTGCTTGCCTGCATTTCCTCATCTGTAATGAGCTGAAAAAAATGGCAAAACACTCCGGTATCTTTGCCAAGAAAACCCTCTGGTATCTTTGCAAAGAAAACCCCAAATGGAGTCACGAAGTTAGACAGAACCAAACAATAACAAAGGAATAGTCAATACGAAGGTGGGAAAATAGGGAGAGGCATTGTCTTTACCCATAATGGCAGCAAACATGACACCCTCTAAGCTTTACTAGTTCTTCCTGTCATGTAACTTGCCCCTGACAGGTGGTCTGAGAAAGTAGGGGTGGGAAAAGTTTGCCACAAGTTTGGTCATCATTGAAGATGATACAGGAGGAAGTACAGGCTAGTCAGTAACATCTCAACTTAGGTAAATTCATTATCATTAGGTATGGGCAAACCTCATAAATTGATCCACCAGAGAAGTCTACTCCATTTTAAGACTTTATTTAGCATATGGAACAAGTTGCAAAATCATATCATGGACATTTGCCACTTGCTGAATCTGGCAAATCTATCCATAACAATGTCATTTCAAAGGAGGTTCGGAGAGTAATACTAGTGCCCTTGAACTTTTGTGGAAACCCATTCACAGCGCCTAATAAGGGTTGTTTTCTGTGAAATAGTTGTTGGCTCAACAGGCATTCTGACCTGCTATGCAGGATTCCACATAAGCTACCCATGGGGAATCCCCTTGGGTCAAAATTTTGGTGTCATTAGTAATTTGCAGGAGTCTAAAAACAGTCTACTGCTGAAAAAATCTGTGGGTATTTGTAGTGCTATTTGATACCAGAACTGCTGATTTCAAGGGATGCCTAAGCCAAGAATTTGCTTTCTTCAAAGTAGCACGTATGTCTCGTTACTAGTAGGTTGGAGGCAGCTGTACCTAAAGCTTTGGAGTCTTTAGAGCCTGTGTTCTGGGCAGAGGTTAGCGTGGCAATTGGATCTCACATATCCAGCCACAGGCAGGCTGTTTGAAAGCCAGACATCCCATTACATTCAGAACTATTAATGAAATGGAGCAAAGAGGACTAAGCTTGAAGGCACCAAAATTTAAGGGGTGCAAAAAATTTACTTCAAGTTAGCTCCTGGTTCATCTTGCTCTTTGCTTGGCTTCAGCCTTCCCAGCATTGTCCTCATAGTATCGTGGAGTCTCCTTCAAAGGTTTCCATTTTTTCAGAGTCTTCTGTCTTCCTCTTCATGGGGTAGTATACTCAGGTCTCCCTCCATTGCACAAGTACTGGGATCCCTTCTCCTTATCATATCACTGATTTGAAAATGAGGTTAGTGCTGCTTGCCCTAGCCACCATTTTTTATGACTTATTTTGTATGTTGAAAGTATTCTTTACTGCTTTAGTTGTATCTCACTTAAGAGAGAACCAGCTTATGAGGATAATTCGGAGACCTAGTCAGACAAATGGCAACTTCCTTGAGATTAATAGAGGTTGCCCAGACAGTAAAACTAATTGTTGGAATTTTGGAAGTCAGTATCATATCAGAAGGAATGCATCAAAGGTACCAAAAAGCTAAGCGTCTGCCTGGGTCAATCTCTCTCTTCAAAGTTCCAGTCCTTTTATTGTTATTGCTATGTCTTGTGACTTTCCCTATCCAGATCCCTCTAAGTATCACTATGGTAAGTGGCATAGTCTGCCATGCTACTTTTTGACACTTCCTGAGCCCATCAGACTGTGGGCTCCTTACAAGGACCTCAGACTGCCTAATTTATAACTTTATTATTGATGTTGGTTAAGTTTGAGCTGAGAAAACTTACTATGTTTGTTAATATGCAGTGAATGAGAGTAAGAATAAGCCCAATTTTAAAACCAGCAACTGAACTAAATCTAGACTTTAAGAGAAATGTGTATTTTTATATAAAAATGTAATCTTAGAATAAAAAAAGGATTAGCATAAAATATTTATATATACTATTTATAAGGTCAAATTGGTGAAATATGTATAAAATATATTTACAAACATTCAAAAATTTTATTTTATTGGAAACATACATAAGAAAGTATATTGGAGAAGCAGAATGGGGAATTTTGCATTTTAGGTGTGAAAATTTTCACCCCAGACAAATTTGGGATTGCGATATACAGTAATGTTGGGATACAAAATGTATTTAATTTTATAATATCACTAATGTCTTCTAGTGGTGTATGTTTTGTGAATTTTTTCTTAACTTGCTTGTAATTATTTTAGCTGTTCTGAGAATTTTTGGTTGATGTTTTGGTGTCCACGGAAGTAATTAGACAAACCCTGGTTGTCACAGACTCATGGTTAGGAATTCTTTGCTGACTGATAGCCTTCACTTTCTACCAGTCTAATTATTATCGATTAAGGAGTATGTCAACGAGAAAATATTTATTGAATACTTTCTGTGTCATCACTCTGTTTGATATTAACTTTTGTGTATTTTTGTGTATTCCATAGGTACATTATTCCATCTTTAGAGAGGAGTGATGCTGGGTTTTACCAATGTGTGGTACGCAACCGGATGGGAGCACTCTTGCAAAGAAAATCTGAAGTTCAAGTTGCATGTACGTGTACATTTCAAAGGTCCTCAAGTGTTAACTGACATAAGTAAATGGGCTATTTAAAACAAATCAAAACTAATTTTTACTAATTTCATAAATTGAGATTTTTATCATTGATTCATGCAATTAAAGCACTTTGATGACAATTTTTTTTACTTCAAAATAAACATTTAAGTAGAAGTAATTTAGATTAACTGTTTCAACCAGTGATCAACTTAGTTGGTTAGAGTGTGGTATTAATAAGATGCATTCATTCTCATATTACTAGATAACATTTCTTATCTTTCCCTTGAAAGAAAAAATTTAGAAAAGATTTAAATATATTTTGCTAGAATAACACCAACCTAAAATCATTACATTAAACTGAATCTTTAGTTACTTGATTTTGGACTGTATAAGAACAATTCAAGCCTGAACATTGAGAGTTTTTTCTTATCTCAGTGTGTGACTTGGGCAAGTTTCTTCCTTTCTTTGGGTCTCAGTTTACTTGTTTGTTCAATTAAGGTTTTGGAATAGATGATCCCCAAGTAATATTTGGAGCTCTGACATTACAAGCCCCTGAGCTTTGTTCCACAGTGAGAAAAGCACTGATTTTTTAGTTAGTTAAGAGTTAAAGGATGTAGCTACAAATTCCATCTCTGCTCCTCAATTCTTATATGCCCCGGGGCATGTCACTGAACCTTTCTGAGCCTCGTTTTCCTCCTCTCCACTTCAAGGGATTTTCAGCAGATAATCTGTGAGCTCCCTTCCAACTCTGAATCTATGGTCCTATAAAACCCTGGCTATTACAAGTCATGGTATAAATTGTATTAATGTGGCAGAAAATCAGCTAAATCTTTATTAGGTAAGTCCATTTGGAAGAAAATAAATTTTCTGAGGAATTGCTACATCAGGAATCAAAATACATAGGGCTTTATTTGTAATGTACTTAGAATAGGATTAAAGAATGTTGTACTATATAAAAATTTAAAACACTTTTTCTAATAAGAATATGTGTAGAAATTGTTTAAATAGACTGATTTCTTTCACTTGTTCTACTAATTTATTTATAACCTCTATTTGGCTCAGTTTCCTCATCTGTATGATGGGGTCAATAATAGCACCTACCTTCTAGCATTTGTTGTGAGGATAAAATGGAGTAATACATATAAAGCACTTAACACAGTGCCTGAACATAGTAAGTGCAATATAAATGTCTGCTGTTATTATTATAAAAAAATTAAAATCAAAATGGAAGAAAATAAAATGAAAATCATTATGATACTTTCTTGATTCTTGAATTATAAAGGACCTTATCAAATAGACTCATATTGCAATCAATGATGTTATTTTATCGCCTATCAGATATTTGAACTCCAGATCTGAGTTTTGTGATTTTCATTGCTACTAATGTAAAATAAATACTAGTTTTTCCCATTTCCAAATCTTTTTCCTCCCTGCTCCGAAAAAAAAAAACAAAACCAAAAAAACCCCCCAAAACCAAAAAAAAAAACCCCAAACCAATTGGCTTTGAAAAGGGAAAAAAACCCAACAAGCTACTATGATTACAAACCATTGAATCAGGTGCTGATTCAAAAATGTTGTTTAATTTCATAATCACAAAGAAAGCTTAACATTTTCTGAATTATGAAGGTCATTTGAGTCACTCAACTGTTGTTAATGAGTAGTTAAGTAATTGAAAAATGTAATTATAAACAAAAAGGCAGTTAAATACCCCTAAACACATCTGAACAAGTTAAGTGGCTAAAAATTCATTAGTATGTATGAAATCCTATTTTGTAAAATTATACTTTGGTCTTTCTCTTGCTTAATTATTTATATCACTTTTTACTCTTTGATCTCTAGCCATTATATTTTCACTTGGTTCTTTATCTTCCAGTCTTTGCCTTTGCTTCCAGATTTTACTGTAGTTTGAGATAAGCATTTGAAAAGGCTTTTTTGTCAATTCATTTCAATTCAACAAGTATTGATTAAGTGCCCAATATATGTAAAGCATTGTAGTAAATGTATATAAAAGTTAAAAACTTTAAAAAAAATCTTTATTGAGTTTTTTTAAAGCTTCTGATCATGGTGAATTTTTTTTTCTTAATCAAAAAAACTTTAGCTAATTGAAATCTGTTGCCTAATTCTAAAATGTATATGTTATGGGCACACACACACACACACACACACACACACACACACACACATACACACACACACATATATACACACATGTATACATTATATATATAGCATCACACAACATAAGTGAACTTTAAATGATCAAAGTGAAAAAATACTTCACATTTCATAAATACATGAAGAAATTAATGCATTGCATTCTCTTAGTCCTGTGTGTTTCTCCTGTGACCCTAGCTACTTGATATTTTTCCCCCAACAAAGTGGTAGATTGGAACAGCATATAATTATTGCTAATTTATGTTAATTAGGAGAGGGTAAAGACAAAAAGAGAAATACCCGAAAGAGTGATGTTTAATAAAGTTCTAGAAGTTAAAGAAAAGGATTAGGAATGAGATTATGCACAGAATCTTAAAGTAAGAAGCCGTCTGAGACTAGCTTGTTCCACTGATGTCATCTGACATTGGGAATGTTGTAGTGGATATTCTACAAGTGGGCATCTAGCCTTTCTTTGAGACCTCTAGTGAAGGGAAGGCCATTTCCTTCCAAGAAAGTTCATTCCATTTTTTGATTGCTTTAATTGTTGTTTTTATATCCAGTGTAAATCATCTTCTCTGAAACTTATACCTATTATTTCAAGTTTTGATCCTTAAGTTCAGTCAAAATAAGTCAGCTTTAATGCCCTCCCTGTCTTATCTTGTCCAAGATAAATACAGTACCTCCAATTCCTTCTAGAGACAGATAGATAATCATGTGATTTGAATTTTAAATAGTAACCCATTCAGTCAATAAGCATTTATTAAATACCTATTATGAGCTGAGCACTGTGCTCAGTTTTGGAGAGACAAGAGTCAAAAGAAAGTCCTTACCCTTTAGGAGCTCACAATCTAATGGGTAAGACAACACACAAACAGATACATACATACAAACAAATTATATACAAGCTGAACTGGAAATAATTAATTGAAAGGAGGCACTAGAATTGAGAGGGATTGGGAAATATTTCCTGTAGAAGGTGTGATTTTACTTGGGTCTTGAAGGAAGGCTGGGAAAGCAGGAGGTAAAGAAGAAGAGAAAGTGCACTGACAGCCTGAGATAATGCCTGGAGCCTCCTCTAATAGAATAAAAGACCCTTGAGGTCAGAGATCTTTTGGTTTTGTGTCCCCACCCCTGAGCACCATACCTTGTATCTGTTGTATCTTGTAGCCACTTAATAACTATTCATTGGATTGAATCAGATTGAACAAAACGTGATGTGGTTTGATGTCCTGTCGTTATTATGATTTCTTTCCTCTGAATGTTCTCCAGTTTGTCTTTCTTAAATGTGGTCCCCAAACTTTAAACACTACTCTAGATATGGTTTGACCAAAGCAGTATGCATACATTGGAACTATGACTAAATTGAAGCAACATGTGTCAGTCTAAAGTTGTTTTATCTTTTTACCAGTATTTGGCATGAAAACGGATAATTTCCTCACTTAAGATTGATTTATTAAAATAGTAATGGTAATAATAATAGCTCATATTAAATATTACTTTAAAGGAACAATGGTTGTAAAGATTTGGATGCCAGGAACTCATCTAAATAAAAAGATAAAATGTATAAATATATTTTATAGTTTTAAGTTCAAAAGTCTCTCTTGTATCTTTGACTGGAGGCAATGACATTTCTCAAATTCATTTGAATGTTATCAGTGGTGTGTTTATGGCTTGAAAATATTTCATTTTATCATTCTAGTAAGACAAAGACTATGCAGTTCTGCTGATTAGTATTTCTTGAGTGCATAGGAGACACTTGGCTTTGCCTCATACTTCACTTCACAACTGAAATCTGCATTAATTATCAGTACTGGGCAGTCATATTGCATAATTGCCAATGATTTTGCCATAAAATATAATTATTTTCTTCTCTGACCACCTACAAATTTCTGAATTCTAAAGGTGTAATTTTTTCCTCATGCAGATATGGGAAATTTCATGGATGCAGACCAGAGGAAAGCTGTATATCAAGGACAGGCTGCAGTTCTAAACTTGCCTCATATCATAAGCTATCCCAGACCACAAGTGACTTGGTTTAGAGATGGGCACAAGATTATTCCAAGCAGCAGAATGTAAGTTGGTTTAAAGTTGAAATAAATTAAAGATTTGAAATATGGCTAATTGTTTCTGATACCATGGCTTACCTATTAAGTATACTTATTAAGCTTTGATGAGAATAATGTACTCTAGCTCAATTTCAGATAAATAACTACTTTTGACTGGCTCCAAAATTCTTCAAAAATTTAACAAAAATAATTCTTGTAACTCTAATGTCCACTCTCCAGTAGAATGTCCACTTGCTCCCTTTCTTGTTCTTTATGTTACACTCTTGTAAAGTGAGTCTTCACTGCCACTTGTCTTTAGCTCTAACTACTAATTTAATGAGTTTTTGTATTTACTTATAAGTGGCATTTTTAAAAAATTGAACTATGTTTTATAGGACTTTCTCTAACAATAAAAGAGTAATTACCTTATTTCTCTTTACCCTTTTATCCTCCCCTGACAGCTTTGTTTCCTTTGATCTGATTAGTGGTTCACTCATTCGTTGTAAAATACTTGCTTTGTGATTAGTTAAGCATTATTTCAAGGAGTTCTTACTTACCCTTCTCTGTCCCTGCCTCCTCATCCCCAACCAGGGTATTTGACTAATGCCAACTAAAGTTTCTTCATGTAGAGCTAAAAAGAAGGTTGAGAATGCACTTCACATACAGATATTTTGTAGTCTCATTTAAAGAAAATGCTCAGAGATAAACATTTCTGAAAGAATCATGAAATGATATGAGCTTAGCCTAAAAGTTAAATATCTGTGTCATTGGGAGGTTCCACTGAGATAAAATTCATAATGGAAAAAGCTCTTTTCCCCCCTTTTCTTTCCATATGTATGACATTCTGGTGAATAGGAATCAAGTATAATTTTCAAAGCCAGTATAGGGACCATATGGACCTATCCCTGTACCTCTCCACTTGTGTATTATACATGCCTCACTCCATATCCCTCCTGCAATAGTTTTCTATACCAAGTCATAATGGTCCCTGCCTTAGACTGGGTTGCCTCTGATGACTAACACATTTCTGAACCTGTTGAGAAAAATGTTTCTGGTTTTAGCCTTTAAAAATGGAAGGAAATGCAAGTGTGTAATGGTAGTATTTGAAAATGCTACTGTCACTAATTATTTTAGGAGATATTAGGCTATGTGGTAGCCTTGTTTTTCTTTATTACATTTAAAGTTGCTTAGTTACACACCTTTATTTGGTCTCTAATTATAATAGATGCTTCTTAAACTTAGGAGAAACAGAAATAAAAGACCAATTTTTTTTTGTCTTAATGGATCATTAGGTTGTACAGCCTGGGAAAAATTATGATTCATTGAATGGGTTAAGATATTTTTTATTCACAAGTGTACTGGAAAGCTGTAGTGTTAAACTAGTGATATGTGTGCAAAGGTTTGACATTTACCAAGGGAAAGATTTTTTTTCCTATTTAAAAATAAAACATTTAAAGAGATGATTTTATTGGATTAGTCAACTTGGTATCATATAACTGTGCATTAGTTCATTTGTTAGCCTGTAGTCTTGCTGCATGGATGAGATAAAAGTTACTCAAGTAATATGAAAGCCACAGGATATAGATTAAAATAATGACTTAATTTTATAGTCCTTTTACTTACAAATCCATTGTAAAAAATGTTAAATTCCTGTAGCACAGAACCAAAGGTGAGCTAATAATGTAAAGATGCCAATAAAAGCCTACTTTGGTGTCATATCAAACAAATGGCCTGCTTACAACCATGGAGTTATTAATAAATTTCCAGTCTAAATAGAACCATGTGCCACAATGCCTTTGTTTAAAATGAGAAGAGACTTATCATGGGTATTTGCACACATATTTATAAAGCCCTTTAGTATCACTTTTTTCACCTCATTAAGAACTAACATTTATTATGTTCCTGCTGAACAAGGTATCATGTAATGAATCAGTATACATGTGAGTCTTTTATCTTCTTTACCAATTTGTATATTGGTCTAAAGCTGTGTTACTTTCTACCTCTAGAAGTGAGTTCTTAACTTAGATTATGTCTGCATTGTACCACTTAGCTGGTTAGCTGATACTTAGAGTATTCTTTTACATGAGGCCAAGACTATGTGACTACATGTTTATTTTGAAAGTCTGAACATTTGTCTTTCCAAGTATTTTATATTTATGGGAATAGAGTAAAGTCACTAGAACTTGGTTTTGTCCAGATAATAGGTCTTGCTTATCACCTCCAAAAACATCCTACTTATGCCTCAACATGACATGGAGGTGACCCCTTAGGATTTTCAAGGGTTTTGTCAGGAGAATCACAAATTCCAATAAGTTATATGAAGTTAGAAAGGCCTCATGTGTAGTCCCTGTAATGGATTCTGCTCAGTCTTCACTTTTGATTTCTTCAAATATTGCTCTGGAAAAACAGGCTTTAAAAAGGCCCATTGTGTTTTAAATTAAGCTACTTGACTAAGTCTGTAAACCCAAATCACTCTGGCTTTCTTTGAATGGCTGATAATAGCCCCAATCAAAGCCTCTTGGTTCATTGTTGAGAAGAGCAATTGTTTTCTGTTCTGGCCAAAACCAAACAGGGTCTTCCCCTGCCAGACTGATATCTTTGTGATGGTAAATTGGGCTGTCTTTTGTCTCAATTCTTACCTAGCTCTTAATTATTGAATGGGTGTGACTTCATACAAACTGAGACCTGGAAAGACTTTTTAATTTAGAAAGACCAAGGTCACCCACAGCATCCTGGGCCATCACCAGTCTTCTTGACCTTCGTCTTGCTACAGGCCTTAAATGACTCTGGAGGAGAAGAGAGTGAAGCTGATGACTTTGCACACTTCTGCCTCACTTAAATCCAGTCCATGCACAATTGAAGACATCACTTTCATGATGTCATTGGTCCCCTTCAAGAATAAAGGATGAATAACAACAATACTAGCTTATGACATAAACACACTTAGAAAATGTTGTGGAAGAGAATGCTGGAATATTATAAACAATATCCAATATCTGTTTCATGAAAGACCAGAGGAGAGGAAAATGTGTCCGTAGAAAGCTTGTTGTAAGATCCAGTAAGTCAGATCATTCTAGTAGCAGCAAGGAAGGCTGCAGAGAAGCAAAACAAAACAAACCGCAAATAAAACTGTCATCATTTTTATTTAACATTTTCTTTCCATTTATTGACTTAGCCCCTTAACTCACTACTACTTACTAGCCATTTCCTCCTACACATTCCTTCTTCTTCACCCTTGAAATCCAATCCCTGCCTCCATTTCATCCTGTCTTCTATGTACATACATTCTCTGGAGCAGAATGTAAGCTTCTTGTGGAAAAGGGCTGCAACATTTGTTATCTTATTTTTCTAGTGCCTGGCATGTTGTTTTTCAATTTGTATCTGCTTAGAGAACATTGTTAATTATTAATTTGATACATATTAGGCTGACTTAGTCTTGCTTTTAAAACTATCAGCACCAGCACACACACACACACACACACACACACACACACACACACACACACACACACTTTACTGACCCATATGTAGAAGACAATATTTTTATTGTTGCAGTGTAGAACTCCAGAGGAGTAAGGAAAAAAGGAAGGCAAAATGAATGATTCTATGTAGCATTTGGTGTGATGTTATGGAAAGAACCCTTCGTTTGGAATTTAGAATCTGAATCATGCTTCTGCTCTTTGAAACCTTTACAACCTTGAACTTTATCTCTCTGGGTCTTAAGTTTCTTTATCTGTAAAATGAGGGGATTGGGTAAGATGATTTCCAAGAATCCTTCTAGTCTTCAATAATGTGATCTCATAATAGTATGCTTGAGAACTAGAGGGAGCTAGGGAGGAAGAAACTTTTTTGTACAGGAATCATTTAACTTCCTTCAACAAGACATTTGTCTAGAAGAGGTAGAGGATGGTGGTTTAGCACGCTTAGGTCCCAGCACAATAAAAGTTCTTAGGGCCCAAACAAGCATTGGGAATTCATTACTTGTTATGGAGGGATTAAAAAACAAATATAAACTCAAATCACTTGCTGTGTCAGTGGCATCAACTTTCTATTTGAAGGTCTTCAGAGTGCTTTTAAACTCCATAACATTAAGTGTTCTAAATGTCTAGTTTCATTACGCCCCCAGTGTACAGCTACTGGCCTTTGAAAGACCTGTACTTCATAAAACAAATGAAATAATTAACAGTAAGTCTAGGCCAAGTATGTAACCCCTAAACAGCTCATTAGTCTTAAGTCTGTAAAGATATTCTGAGAATCTACCATAAAGCAGTTCAGCATAGTTACTGAGTAATGAAAAGAAGCAGCAGCAGAGATTTAACATGGTGTGCTGCAATCAGAGAAAGGATTTCACATAGTTAGCAAATATATTGACTAGGAGGTGAACTATACATGTACAAGCATAAATAATGATCCCTTTTTCCAGGAGATAAACCATCTTTGTACTTTGTAAATACCATTATTGTATGTTCAGGGCTTTAGGTTTCATTCCTGTGTACAATTAAATCCATAGCTTTATTCTTGGATTCTCTATCAAAAATCAATTAGGTTCTTCTTATGCATTTTACGTGGATAGACAACTTTTGTCCTATGCTCTACATGCCAAAAAACAAACTCATCATTTCTTCCTCTTATCATCCCCTTATCATAACTTCCATATTTCTTTTAAGTACCATTCTCCTCCCCAAAACCATACTCTGGTAATCATGACCTGCCAGTGGTCCTGGATTCCTAAAGGTTATATCAATAGAAGCACTTGAAGGTTCTTTCATTCTGGAAAGGCTACAGGTATGGTTTCAACAGCAGACTTTTTGAGGACTAAATTACCTAAGAAATGGAGAGGTTCATTACCCATAGATATAACTTCTGATATGGCAACCAGCAAAAGAAAGAAAATATGTCATGGCCATCACTCTTGCATGGCCCCTTCTGTTTCTACAATAATAGTGAGGAGGTGTAGATTCTTGGTGGGCTGGGATCTAGACATGACAAGTGGGTCCTGCCTGATTGAATTTGACCTAAATCTTTTT